CGGGCCCCGCCGAGTCCGCGGGCACGGCCCGGGGCTTCTCGGGGGGCTCAGCCGGGAGGCCAGGCGCAGACCAGCTCGCCGGCGCGCGGGCACTGGGCGGCTGAATTGGGGGGTGGGCGTCAGAGTTTCCCCGAACTTTTCCACTCCAGATCCGCGACCCTGCAGTGCCCCCTACAGAGAGCGGCGGGGGCGGGACGACCCCCGCGCCGGGCCGCCCGCGCGCGGTGCCTTTTTTCCCTTTTTTTCTCAGCCTTCCCCTCGACGTTTGTTTTTCGGTACATTTTTTTTTTCTTTTTTTTTCTGAGCTTAAAAAAAATAAAAGTGCGCAGCTCGGCCTGGCCGCCTGCAGTGGAGCGTGCTCGGCCTGCAGAGGCGCTCGCAGCCCGCTCCCGCTCCGGCTCGGGCTCCCGCTCCGGCTCCCGCCGCCCCCGCGTCGTGTCGGCGCGGAGCGGGCTCTGCAGGCGCACAACTTGGCCGCCGCACGACTTCCACTCTACTCAGAGCGGAAGGCCCTTGAAAGCTTTTTTTTTTTTTTTTTTTTTTTTTTTTTACTTTTGGGGCCACACTCCAGACTCGAGGCCCCGCCCGCTCTCCTGCTCCAGTTTTTGAACACACTTAGGGATAGGCAGAAGGGGAGCCCCGAGAGCAACCCCAGGAGAGGGCGGAGCGCTCCTGCGCCTGGGGCAAGGGGCAGGGAGCTCCCACACCCGAAACGGAACGTTGGGAGCAAGCCTTAGGCACGTCGCAGGGGGGCACCCGCGAGGGACGGACAGGAAGAGGGCCAGGGGGGGACGCCAGAACCCAGGACCGCAGCACGGAAACGGCCCGGGCTGGCCTGCCAGCAGATCCGGCGATGGAGGGAGCCGGAGAAGAGGAGTGAGAGGCCGGGGAGGCAGGCCCTGCTGACCTGGAGGCGGGCAGCCTGCTGGCAGTGAAGGACCAGGCCACCCAGGAAAGAAAGGGATCAGGAGGTCGAGCTGAGACGTTTCAAGCTCAGACTCGTTGCGCTGAAGCCAGGCTCTGGCTAGTTCAGGGCTCGGGCCTGTTTCGGGTTTTCGACCAGGAAACAAAATCAATCCTCTAGTGGGAAGAGTGAATGAGTCAGAGCCCGAGTCAGGACAGGGCAGAAACCCCCAAGCCAAGTTAGGGGTAGGAGCAAAGCCCTTTAGAGCAGCTCCCGCAGTAAGACGGGCAGGGGGCTTCAGAGCCTCCCACAGTGGAGTGGGATTGGCGAGCTAGACGCTTGTAGATCGAAGGTTGGATTGGGGAGGGGTCTCTGGGACGTTGGCTTGCTGAGCAAGGATTGGGGGGATTCAAGTGCTTAGAGATCGAATTCAGGCCTTGGGCAGGGGGAGTCAGACAATTGGAAAGCCTAGGTGGTTATTTGGGGAGGGGTCTTTGCGTTTTGCGGAGTGCAGGGCTGCGCCTTTTGGTACTGCGGCCTGGGATCTTGTCAAGAGAGGCATCTGTTCAAGGGAGGGCCAGCTAGGCCAGACCAAGCGAAAGAAAGTGAATAAACTGGACTCCAAGTGGGTCGGGGGGACCCTGAGCGGGGGGTCACAAAGGGTGAGACATGGCCACCAGGCGTTTAACCGACGCTTTCTTGTTGTTGCGGAATAATTCCATCCAAAACCGGCAGCTGTTAGCCGAGCAAGTGAGTAGTCACACCACCTCCAGCCCTCTGCATTCACGTAGCATTGCTGCGGTGAGTCTCCAGGCGGCCTCTCCGACACACGCACCGTGTGCACTGCGGCTGTGCCTGTCTGTCTGTCTCTCTGTCTGTCTCTCTGTCTAAAAAAAAGGATAAGAATAATAAGACTAATACGGAAATGCAAGGTGTTTTGGTTCGAGCCAAGAGCCGTCTAGGATCCTCGACGGGAAAACAGCTCTAGGCCCGTTTTCGCTTGTGTTTTGCCCTTCCTCACTTCCACAGCCCTCCCCAGCCTGCCCCCTTCGCCGCCGTCGTCACTGCATGACCGGACGCTTCCAATTTACGTATGTTTTAACACGAGGAGGACTTGGAAAGCGTCGAGCCCTTCTGATGCCTTTTTGTTTGGTTTTGTTTGGAGCTCTCTCTCCCGCCCCCAAGTGAGCCTCACTTTGGCTCTAATCGCCAAGTTGCAGGACCTCAGAATCAAATCCTTGCAAGCGAAGGGCTCCCTCCCCCTCGAAAGAGGAAGGAGTTGTGCTGTTTTTGTGTGTCTATATGTGTGTGTGTTTTTCCACCCTGAGCCCCCCTTTTAATGGTCTCATAGTCCTCTTTGTGGCCGTGTTCCCTGTGAAGAATTGCTTTGCTGTTTTTCCTGGGGGTTTATGTTTGTGAGGCTGTGAGGTGCTAGGCTCCTCGTTTTCCATTTCCTAGACAGAAAATGAATCTTTCCCCTCCCTTCGAACTTTTTGAAAAAACATGATGTGTATGTGAAAATTGACCCTCCCAAATAGCTTTTTAAATTTTTATTTATTTATTTATTTATTTATTTATTTATTTATTTATTTATTATTAACCAGACCCTTCACTTAGCCTAGCTAGAGTTCTTGTTGCTTGTTTTTTGTAAACAAGGTCCTGGAAAGATTACTGTTCGGGGTTTGTTTTCAGTGGGGGCTGCTTTCTTTTTCTGAGTCTCAGTGTACTGGTGGGTTAAATAAGGGGGCAAGACCAGTGGTGGAAACAAGGATGATTATCAGCTCTGTCATCCTTCACTGCAAAGCGAAGTTAGGAGGCTAGTTCTAGCGGGCTGCCTGCTGTAGACAGGGTGGATTTAGATGGAAACAGCGTTGGGCATGAGGAAATTGTCATGCCAAGACCTGATCTTTGGGGATTATGCTGGAAAAGATACAGTTTTTGAACTCTCATACTAATTCACCACTTAGGAAATGTATTGCTTTTTATTTTTTTCATTATCATGTATTGAAATGCTAAATAGAAAAATTATGTCATGTGTCATGATTATTGACATGTATACTAAGACAGTTTTTCCCTTTTTCAAGTCACAGTGGGAAATATCTTTGACCATATACTCACAGAAAAGCGGGTTTTAAGCCGTGGGGGCAGTTTTAGGGATGAAAGGGTGCAACCTCTGGTCAAAAAGCATAGAAAGCAAGGATGGGTGTGTTTTCATTTTTATTTACATAAAAATTTGAAGGTTTTTTTTCTTACATGTATAAACTGAAAGAAATGATACTGTACAGAAATAAGCATAAAGGTATTATAAAGAGGGAAAATAGCAAATTCTAGTGCTGATTCTGAAGTGCCCTGAAATAAAGCAAGAGATGGAATAGAAACTGAATGACTACAATTTTTCAGTGGGTCTTTAGTTATGTTAAATAAAAAGACTCTCGTGTTTATTAAACCACTTGGTTTTATACTACCTTGGAGGGGGTCTAAAACACTCATTAATGCTTTTAGGGTCTCAATTTTAATTGAAGAATGTATTGTTTGTTTTAAAATTTTTAATCATATGAAGTTCAACACACCCGGCAGCTTTGGGTAACATGAGAAAAAAAAATTTTTTAACTGCCGTTCAGACAGTTTAAAAATACTGTGTTGTCCGATATTGGCAGCTTTTTAAAAGTGTATCTCTGTCAAACTGCTTTTAAAAATGTTTTTCTAAGTTAACAATTTTTTAAAAATTTGTAGATTAAATAATAATTAAAAATGGATAAGCTACAGAGTTAGAAAAAATAGTATGTCCAGAAATGTACAGTTAGAGTTAGTTAATTCAGACAATTTCTTGAAAGTAGATTTTTAAATTCAACTAAGAATACATATGTAAGTTAGAATGTTTAAAATTTTTTTATTTTACACCATTAAAAATATTACATGCTTTAATCAGTATGAGCATTTAAGATCTTCCTACTGGCATGAAAAGCAGTCGGGTCATTTGAAATATCTGTGTAGTGCAGACCGTCAAAAAAATAGATTCTGCAATCTAACAAAAATAGTTTGTCTAAGTGGAATTTAAAAAGAAAGCACACATTTATATATTTTAAATGTTTACCTTAAAATACAGATGACATGCCATAAATTTCTGAAGTGTTTAAAAGTGAAGCATTACTTCTTCAGTTTATTTATAAGTGATTTAACAGGAACTGTTTCGGTACATTCAAACACACAAAATCAAGTATGATAAGGTGTTAACATAAGTAGAGATTACAATTTTTTTCAATTTTTCTGAAAGTTAGAGAATTATTATAAACATTTTGGAGAAAAAGACATGCCAGACATAATTTTTCAAAACTGTATTGAGTAACTCCTATAATGTTTCTCACTGCATATTTAGCTCATAAAAATTTTAAAAACCTCATTTCTGCCTTGTAAATTGTAAAACCATGTCACAAATCAAAATCAAAACTATGTCTGTAAAATTTGAATCTGGACTACATGTTAGGTATTAATTAGATTAATTATAAATAATTACATTTGTTAATTTCATTAGCGATGACTACTGAAATGTTTAGTAGTGAAATGTCAAGATTGCTATTACTTATTTTAAGTACTTAACGCCCCTCAAAAGTAGAGGAAGCAAATAAGGCAAAATGTTACTAATTGTTAAATCTAGTGATGAATATATAAGAAGACATTTTATCATTTCACATATTTTTCTGTGTGTTGGAAAAATTATAAATAAAAACATAACAAATACATTTGTCATAGGAAAGTACAACTATAAAAAAAACAGACAATTTACAAATATATGTATGTTACCTGATAATTAAAAAAAGAAGTAACTAAACCAGGACTTAACTTAATTTTTAAAAATCATAAATTCCTAATTAGAAAGCTATAGAAGTTGATTTTAGAGTATTTGTTTTCTCATGAACAATTAAAAATAAATCACCTATCATAGTAGATTTTTAAAAAAATGTAGTTGTAAATTTCACACGCTTGAAAAAGATACAGAAATGGATTGCAAAGTGGCATGTGGGTATGTAAATCACACGTACCTCAAAATAATGCACACTTCAAGCTTTTCATTTAAAAAATTCCATTTAAGATTTTTTTTTGAATATTAGTTTGAAGAAAAAACTAGAAGATTATTGGTTATGGGGGTTATTATAGATACCCATATGTGCTTACGGACTTAGGCAGCATTCGGGCAAAAGCAAATTTGTCACCAATAATGAGTAATTTACAGAAGATGTGCAGTAGCAAAGCAAACAGCCCCAAGGGTCAGAGGGACCTAGAGGTCTTTTGCCTAACATTCCCATTTGTGAAAAACTCTCAAATTTCAGTAGCTAGTGCTCCGTGCTTTTTACTACTAAAATGTCTCTCCTGTCGTGATCCCGGTAATATTCATGTCTTCTATCCTGTGGTCCTTGTTCTAGTTCTGTCCCACCACTAGGGTCTGCAGTTATAGGAAGCCTCTTGCTCCTGCACCCTGACCCTGCAGCCGTCTTATTCCTGGATTTTTTTTCGAGGCTTAGAAATCCCGGCTCAGACGCATGGTTAAATTTCTTTGCTATGAATGATTTTTAGTCTCTCCTGTATATTTTTAAAAATTCAATACCCAGAACTGAATAAAATTCTACTTACTTGTTTTTTTAAAATTGTATTAATATTAGTAAAATTAATTGTTGAAAACAGACTGAGCTTTGGTTTTAGCGTCTAAGCAAAGTGCACTTATTGGCAATTCTCAAATTCTCAAAACAATTGTGTTTTGCCCTCAGTTTTGGTGCCTGGCAGGTTTATACCTCAGGGCAGCATAAAATAAAGAAAAGTGCATTAGACAACCAGTCTGGGAATTTAGGATGAGTCCCCATCTGCTATGGACTTCATCTTTTTAGACAGCTTTCATCAGGTTTGTAAATTGAGTTTGAGTTAGGTGATTTTTAGTGGCTCTATCAATTTGATAATGTTTTCTCAAATTCTGTCTTAATACATTCTTTCTCATGACCAAATCACACAGCCTTAGGTTTAATTTTGAAAAGGAGAAATCCATAGTCAACCACAGTATTGTGGCTGTCAGCCTGAGGTTACTGGCAAAAATCCTTAGAGTAGCCCTAATACTGTGCAAAAGTAACTTTGACATTTTATCAGCCAAGTAAATGGACGTGTTAAGGCAGCACCTCTTTCAAGTATTTACAGGCAGTTTGCCTTCAAGAACCTGGAATGGCTTTATGAAGTTAAATAGTGAAGTTAAATAATCAATTGTTTTAGGTGTAAAGTCTTACATGAATGAATGAAGAGTGAAAGTTGAGTTGCCGGTCTGATCTAATGAAATGCTGTATAGTTTCATGGTGGTTTTTTTTGTTGTTGGTGGTTTTTTTTTTTTTTTTTTTTTAATCTGGAATGAATCTAATATAGGGGCTGGAGCTACTTTGTTAGTGTTTACTGCCTAATCTATACTCTGCTCTGAAATAATGCATAATCTATAAATGGAAGCTAGAGTTAATTGGTCTTAGATTAGTTTGAGACTGGCACATTATTTTTAATAAAACTTGTGCTTTATGAGAAAAAAAAAGAAAAAATTCCAGATTAACTATGATTATAAGAAACCCGAGATCCTTATACAGTCTTGACAACATCATTAGTTAAGATTTATTGAGCGCCTGCTATATGCCTGGCACTGGTCTGAGTCCTTTCCATGTAAAACCTCGTGTCACTCTCAGTGTCCACCAGGCAGGTGCCCGTGGTAGGAAAGAAACGGAGGTGCAGAGGAGTTGGAAACTGAGTCAGCATGGGGGCGCTTTGAGAGTGGAGGGCTGGGGGGCAGAGCTCTGGCCTCTGTGAAGCCCAGCATTCTGCTCCCTCCAGGACCACACTGCGGCTGGCTGTTTTCCAGGACTGAGGCTGTAGATCCTAGAAAATGGAAGGACTTAATATTTAAATGCATTTTATTTTTCTAGCAATAGAGTAGCATCTTTATCTCTCTTTACAGCCTTCTGCAGTCAATTTTAACTTGCACATCAAAGGTTCTCAAGTTTTAGGTCGGGCAGAGTCTCCTGGAAAATCAGTTCTGTGTCTTTAGAATCCAAGTATGAAATCATTGTATATTTCTCTTTAGATCTATTTGCTTTTCTGCTTTTAAAGATTCCATTTGAGCAGTGAGGCTTACTTGAGAATAAGGATACTTTGTTGGATAAAAGTGAAGCAAACTTTTATTTTGGCAGTAATGGAAATAAAGTAAATATCACTATAGCATAGACCTGTATTTCCAACTCATTTTGCTCAACTTTTCCAGACTTCCTGAGTAAACACAGATGGGTTTCCACTTATTTTTCAGTTTTATGTAGAAAGTTCTTTAGACTATAAATTCCACATGCTACTTGGAGTTTTCAGTATTTGCTTGATTTCATGCCATTGGCAGGTCAAAGACCTAGATTTAAACGTTATAAAGATTTAGAAGGTGGTGATATGTAGTAACATGTTTTCATTCTGCTGTATTTTGGTCTTTTCTGATGATGATTCTAAATATTTTAATTCAAATCTTGACTAAATTTACTGGTAATTTTGGGGCAAGGGGAGTTTTGAAAGCTTTCTGTTTTTAAGCAGCCAAATGGGGGGGGGTGGTCTTTGGAAAGATGGCCTGAATTTAATTCCCGATATGATATGGGAGCTGCCTATCACAAGTAATTCTCTGAATTGTTAATAAAATTATAGAGCTGCAGGGTGGGGTGGAAAGAGGCCTGGACACCTGGGGCTGTCCCCATGTTAACCATTAACAAGCTCTGTGACTTCAGGGCGTGCATTTATACATTTTGAAGGTTAGTTTTCTTATTTGTAAGAAAAGAGTTGCTTCTAGCCCTAGAATCTCATGATTCCAATTATCATCCGGTAATTGTAGGAATCAAAAGATCGGGATGCGTGTGCTTGGTTAATAATCTGACGGCACAGGCTCACGCGCAGCAGAGATTTTGACCATGGTTTGCAGTGATAGTTTGTTCAAAGATGAAATGCCGGGGAGCTTCTATAGAATGGAAGAGGCTGTTGCTGCACGTAGGGGTTTTGCCTTGGGTTTTCTTGATGAAAGATGTCCATGCTCTCTTGCTGAAAACGTTAAGCTCTTAGAAAATACAAACATTTTTTCTGTGTAAAGTAAAACATAATGAGATCAGCCATTGACACTGTCTTTTCTATCAATACCTTCTAGCACGACTGATACAGTAGCGTGTGTGTATAAGTAGTTCTTTCCTCCGCAATTGTAGAAGTGAGGAGGGTTCTCAGCATTCTGTAATATCATGTAATTGAAGTATTACCCGAGTGTTGTTTGATTATATTTTATTGCTATCATTGTGTAATGTTTTGGCCTGATAGACCAGCTTCATTTGCACTAATTTTTAGATAAGAAAGTTAATGTTTTTGATGCTCTAAATTAATGGCTAAACATAAAAAAAGACAGTTGATAATTGCAATTCACCACTAATTATTTTCATGATCAATATTGTAAAAAAAAAAAAACCTCCTCATTTAGATTATCTGTCATTAATAACTGTCCAGAAGATAGAGTTCTACCTTGATCTAAAAAAGAATCTTTAGTTTTCTATTGAAACTTAACCCTTGGGGTGCCTGCTTTCTCGTCTCCTTACCTTTTGTTGTCTTGTTTGCTTGCTTTTATAATAGCTTTACAAATAACCGTGTGCTTTTTAGACTAATAGTATTACATGCCAAGCAAATGGTAAGAGTTTTTCTTTGATTTTCCCACCTGTGTCTCTCCGGGAAACAGTGGTTTTTCAGCGCTTGCCGTGGATAAAGCCATGTCTGCGGGATTTAATTTGTAGAGCCCTTACATATGTGGTCACTTAGGTACTACCTCAGTGCAGCCATAGACAATTCTATGGGTTGTTCATTTTGTAATTCTGCTGCATTTGCAGGGCCGACTTACATGTTTAAATATGCATTTATTTGGACATAGTTGCATTACATTTGTTCTCTGCTGAAGGAAATTTAGAATGTTATGCATTGTATGTGATATTTGATATCTGTGAAACAGATTAGCAGTTTACTTCAGTGAAACCGAAGCAAGTGTGTTTTGTTTCCAGTGTGTTTTAATTTTTACTATTTATTGCTTGTTTCCTACCTCATTTACTAAAACAACAACCAGAGTAAATAAAAATATGTATGGATGTAGCTTTTTTTTTAAGAAAGGGAGAATGAGAAGGGGACATTTTTAAATGCCTTGGCTGGTAGATCTTCGGTTTTAGTGGATTTAAGAGTTCCTTAACACCTGTTTTCTCACCTGATGGTGCCTTGTCTGTCTGTCTGCCCATGCCTTCCTTCCTGCTCTCCCTGCCTGGACGGGCCTGACGGCAACCACACACCCACAGGAGCTGGACGAGGTACTGTGTTTTGGATATTTTTATATGCTAGGTAATTTTAGTTTATAAAATACCTGTTTCTCTACAGTCTCTGGTCATATATATAAAAGGGTAACAGAGGTTGTACCTATTTTAGCATTTGCTTTGATTACTTTATAATGTGTTTAACAATTTAGTACTTAGAATTTGTTTGGTGTATTTTCACACGGTGTGAGCTGATAATTTATAAGGAGGTTTAAGAGCATTATTTACTACTCTTGGGAAATGTCTCCACTTCGGAAGTAGTCAAGGTTGAGCGTTTTTCTGAGTGCGACAGCAGACAGCTTGCGTGTGGGATGATGTCAATGACCTCCTGCTCTCTGAGAGGAGTGTGACGCAGGAGCCCAGGTACAGCCGCAGAGTGGATGACGGAAGCCTGGACGAAGCCGCGTGCCTGGGATGGAGGGAGGGCGCCCACTCCCTGTATTTCCGGAGCTAATCACTGTGGAGGGCCGTTTCTGTCCCTGCCTAGCAGCAAGCCTCTGTGTTTCCACTACTCACTCGTGTCTCACCCCGAAGGTGGAGAGCATATACATTCACAACACTTTATTTTAGCAGCTCGACTCAAAGGGCAGAAGACGCGTGAGCGGAAACTGCGGCTGCTCCTGCTGTGTGTCGTTGCCCTTCTTAGCAGTGAAGGGGCAACATTATTTTTCCTGAGGAGAAAAAATTTTAAAAAGAGGGGAAGACTGGCTCGTTTTAACTTACCAGTTTGTACAGTAAGGCAGGATTGGAATCACTGTCTTCAAAACCTCCGGGGTCCTATCTAGCAAATTAGATCTACCTGTAAAAAACCTAAACTAGTAGATAATAGCAATAGGCTGAGCACCACTTAAATATTTCTCACTGGGAACCAATTAAATAAATTACATAGCTGGGCACAGTGGTGCACACCTATAATCCCAGCACTTGGGGGCTGAGGCAGGAGGATCGCTGCAAGTTTGAGGCCAGCCTGGGCTACATAGTGAGTTCAAGAGCAGTCTAAACTACATAGTGAGACTCTGTCACCAACAAGCAAACAAATAAACAATATAGTGTCTGTGCCCCTGTAACAGAGTGAAGCCTGTCTGTGAAGACACATGGCCAAGTGGGAGGGGAGCTAAATGCAAAATATGCGCGTAATGTGAATCCTGCCCGCCTTTAAGAAAAGTAATTATCCTTGTGTGTGCTTTTAAAAAATTCTAAAAAGGTACACAAGAAACCAGTAGCAGTGGCTACTTCCCAAGAAAAGTCTAGGACATTAAGAGAACTTCCCTTCTACTGCAAACTTTTTCTTAGGGTGGAAACATTTTTAATCACGTGCATTCATTACTTTTGTCGACCTCAGCAGCTTGTTTTGTTTTTTTTTGTTTGTTTTTTTTTTGTTTGTTTTTTTTCTCCAGTACCGGGAACCGAACTCACCACCTTGCGCTTGCCAGGCAGGCGCTTTGCCGCTGAGCTAAATCCCCAGCCCCGACCTCAGCAGCTTGTTGAGCAGGCGACCATCAGGCCTGCGTGAGAACTCCCGACCCCATTCAGGAACCTCACTGCCAGTACCCAGCCTGGGCTCTGGGCATGGAGATGTGAGTTCACTTTGGCTCACACACAGTGAAGTTGAGCATTGCTGGAGTTCAGTGGACATGGATAGATCTGCTGACCAAACTCTGACAGTGGTAAAGAGTGTAGAACCCAGGCAGTTTTAACGTAGAGTACAGATAACTGTTCTTTACCGGGCGTTTTGCACATGTAGAAGTTGTGACCGCCCCCACCCCTCCAAAGCAGTATATGATGAGGGGGAAGAGCCAACGCTAGAAGGACTTAGGGTGGAGAGGGCGCAGAAGTGTTCCTAATAGTCTAAGTAAGGATCACTTTTTCTCCCGTTTCTAGTCTTTCCCCCTTCTTCAGATGGTAAGTTCTAGAAACTGGCTATGTGTGCCATATAAGCCAGCAGGCCATTTGCTTTTTTACTGCTTATTCTCTGAGAAGGGGAGTCTTCTGCTCTGTGACCAGAGACCCAGGTGGAGCCCCCTTGACCACACGCTGAAGGAAATGCCCGTGTGGTGGCCTTGCCTGCTCATCCAGTCTTCATGTGGCTGCTCACAGCCACCCCATCCCCTTGCACATTTTGCTTGCTCCTTTTTCTCTGTTCTCAGGGACATTGTTTTTCACGAGCGTAGCTTCCTGAAGTGTATGTGTCGTGTTATTTACCTCATTCGTTCGTGCGTTCGTTGCATCCATACATCCACGTACTGTTGACGCACTCAGTTAAGTGTAACTGTGGACTCATTACTGTGATGTACCCAGTGCTGCCCTAGAGTTGGGGATGTGCTTGGGGATGGCCCTCGAGGCTGGCTGTGCTGGGGCAGTGTAGGCTTCACAGTGGTGTTTCTGGGGATGGTAAATGCCCATTATTTATGTCTCCCAGAGAAAAATCATCTGACTGATGGCTCCTGCTCACCATCCTGCAGGCCAGCCATGCGAGCCAGCCACTCTCTTGCTATTGCTGGAGATGCCATCTTCATCCTCAGAAAATGCTGAGTAGAGTAAGATGTCCCCTGAGGAGGCGACCTCTCCTGTGAGAAACTCCCAAGTTGTTTTAAAAATTCAAACTAGAAACTTTAAAAAAAAAACAAAAACCCACAGTGTATAAATGTCAGGCTCCACAACTGCACAGCTTAGGGAGGCCAAGGTGGTGTGGTGGGCCTCTGGGTCCAACCTATTGATGGTACTGTGAGACCTTGCAAAGCTCCCAGCCCATACTTGTTAATGGGGAGTGACCCTCTTCTGAAGGCTTGTCGCTAGACTAAAACAGTTCAAGTCTATAGAAGAGAATAGTGCACTGCTGGCACAGGTAGCAGTTGTGTGTGTGTGTGTGAGAGAGAGAGAGTGTTAAGAAAAAAGAAAAGTTAATGAAACTAGCCACATTAATGTCAGGGTTGTGAGTGGTTTGATTCTCAAATATTTTATTTCTTTATTACAGTCCCAAAAGTATTGTAAAGAATTTCTTAATCAGAAATGGCAAGTATTTTAAACATCACCATTTTAAAAATACAGCGCTGACATCCTGACTCCCTCCTTTGCCCGTTGATTCACTTCTCAAAGAACCTGAGGTTTCTTAAGCGCCGTGTTCTAGCGGAGGGCTTTGAGCCTGCTGTGTGTGTGTCCTCTGACTTTGTCACACATGCCCCCTACAGAAGCAAGAGTCGCCAGGCTGACATTTTCTTTGTCCCTTTTGGGCTTTGTAAATGTTCACTGCGGGTACATCAAGAATGCTCCCATCCCAGTGCAGTGCCACTCTCTAGAGGGCGGGAAGGGTCTCTGACTTTTCCAGTTTCTCCAGAGGCTCTGATGTTTTCTTAATCTTACAGCACACTGACTCAGCCTATGGTAAAGGCAAGCTTTTGTAAAGGTGGGAAGGCCGTATATTTGAAACAGCCAGACTGGTAACAGCGTGTACTGTGTGTGTATGTTCCTTTCATAGAGCAAGGCCTTATCCACACCGTCTGCTACACTGAACAGGGGCAGATGCCCGCATCGGAAATGAATCGAGGGCCAAAGTTAACTTAGGGAAACCAGCACCGAAAGCGCTTGGAGCGTGTTGTCCTGAGACTCCATAGGAGTTTTCTGCATGTCCCACAGCGAGGTGACTCTGGGTCAGGGTAGTTCCCCTCTGCCCCTCAGTCCTCGGAGGACCAAGCCACAAATCAAGGACACAAGAAATCTTCAATTTTAATTCTCCTAAGGCTAGCTTTCATAACATTTTTTTTTCTTATTTAAAAGATATGGAAAGATTTTTTTTACCTTCAAAAGTATGTTTGTTTAAGAAAAGGTTTAATAACCAGTATGTTTTTGGAGAGGTGATGGAGCTGACATTAGGGAAGAAAATGATAAATCTGGCAATTGTTTAAGGTCTGTATGGAGTAGGATGGCAACTTGAAAATTGATGTCTGCACTGGATCCCCACCAAATAAGAAAAGGTTTGGAAGCTGAAAGGGTGATTATTTAGCACTTAAAATGTATTTTTATGTTCATATTTGTTTCCATTTCAGATAGTTGGTATTTATTTTCAGTTGTTTTTCCTTCCCAAAACATGCCAGCTTCTTTTTTAATAATACATACTGTGATACACATTATAAATCGCTACCAATAAGAGAAATGACATTTCCCCTCAGTAGAGCAGCACTTCCAGCACGATGAGCTATGGCTATAGATTCTATCATAAAGGGGACAAATGATTTGCTATTTGAAGTGTGCAGCCCTGAAGAATCAGCTGTTCTCTCCCATCGGCAAAGCCTGAGGCTGTGTGTGGAAAGCTCAAAGCCAGCTGGCTGGGTGGCAGCTGTCCGTCCTCGAGGGTCTCCTCCTTAGCATCCTCCTTAGGACCCAGAGAAGAGTGCGTTCTCCCCAGTTTAGATTTATATCTAATTTTGGGGAACACATTTCTTGTATAAAATAAAGCACTGTTTGAAGGGGCTGAATCCACTTCAGTTGGCTATTCATATATGGTTTATAATTTATTTGTTTTAGATAAAATGATAGTAGTCACAGTGTAGGTAAATTTAGATAGAGCTGTATCTTCTGTGTATTTTCTTTGGTTTAATGTGTTTTTTATAAACAGTAAAAAAAAGTACAACTTATTTTGTTCTTGAATTTAGAAACAGTCATTATAAATCAAACAAGTCATTATTCTACTGAAATATGGTATAATAACAGAACATATTGGATTCTATGATTCATCCAAAGGTACATCTAGGCACTTTTTCAGTTTTGCTTTGTGTAAACAGTTGAAGTTATAAATTCGAGTTCTGGTGTAGTGCAGCAGTAACTCCAAGTGCAGCATGTGCTACGCTGGCCGAGTACTGGCCGTTGGGCAGTACTCTGCTGTAGGTGGTGCGCCCCGCACAGAGTTGGGTACCACTTGGTGGCTTTGCAGCAGTGCCGTGGCGGGCGGGATGAAGAGCTCTGCCTCTAATCTCTCAGCAGCAGCCCACCCTCCCCATGCTGCCGGCTCCGCAGGTGGCCTGGCAGAGAGGGCTAGGTTGTTGGTGCTTACGTGCTAGTTTGCGGCCTAGCCTCCGGTCCCTGTGCCGTTGGTGGGGAATTAATCAGAGTACTGGGTTTTGTTCTGATCTGATAGTTTGTCTTGATTCATTTTCTTAGCAAATTACAGTATATTTCATGGGCCTCCAGAGTGACTGGCAGCTGCAGGGTGGAAAGGGTGTCTGGAATCCATTGACTCAGGTTTTAAGCTGTCACCTAAGAGCTTAGTGGCCTTGGGCAAGCTACTTAACGTTCTCTGGCCTTCAGTTTCTGTATTTGTATAGTGAAATAGTATTTCCTAGCTTACCTAGTTTTTGTGAGAATTGAATTGTAAAAATTTAAAATTCCTATTAGTGAACTCTTACTTAAAAACAAAAGGTGGTAGTGGAGAGTGAGAATTCCCACCTCAGGGATGCAGAGCTGCAAGCAGTGCAGGTTTTGACAACTTGTCATTTAAGAACAGAAGTGATCCTGGGCCAGCAGTGGCCCACTGGCCTCGGTGGTCGACTCCGGTGGCCTTAGTCCTAGCTCCCAGGTGCTCAGGGCAGTGGTCCTGTGCCAGGTGCACTCCCCCCGTGGCCTAGGTCTCCCTGGCACACAGGATGCTGAGAGCAGAGGGCTGCAGAGCCAGGGAGGGCTGCAGGCGGAGAGTTATGGTGAGCATCAACTTGCCATCAGGAATTTTCCTAGGAACCTTCTGTTCAGGGTTTAGGGTTGATTGCTTGAAGAGTTTCTTTAATCTATGTTTTCCCTTATGTTGTATTTTTTCCCTTTATCTGTGAGTTTTAAAAGTTTGCCTGTTCCTTTATTGTTTGGTAAGCAAGTATTTACCAAATTAATAAAAAAATAAATTTATGTAGTTTCAGGGAAGTACAAATTCCTCACCCAGTTTTATTAAACATTTACAGAGTATTATTTATAAGGGACTTTTTATACTGTTTACCATTATATTTTTATTATCATTTGGATCCTTTGAAACTAGAATTTAAAAATTCTGAGCTCTGGAGCCAGGCTTGGTGGCTCACTCCTGAATTCTAGCACTATGGGAGGCTGAGGCAGGAGGATCTGGGCCAGTCTGGGCAACTTAGAAAGTTGGCAAGACCCTGTCTCAAAACCCAAACACAACAAAAACAAGGGCTGCCACTGTAGCTCAATGCTAAGGCCCTAGGTTCAATCCCCAGTACTGAAAAAGAAAAAGGAAAAGGGAAAAAAAGAAAAATGATTCTGCATTCCCGATGAGTACCTCAAGATGCTATCAGCTTGTTCATTGCCTCCAGGCAAAAAAAAAAAAAAAAAAAAAAAAATAAACTATGATTTGCTACCTATTCTTTTGAAAGCTTGCTAAGGCAGTATCTTACATAGATCAAAAGCAAGAACTTTGAGCATCGTTTCAAAGTGAGGAAAATGCTGGTGGACAGTCAAGTGAAGGGAGACACCACGGCGTGGAGTCACGGTGGAGTTTTAAGGCTGGCCCTTGCCCGGGTGGGGGACCTTGCCCACTGGTGCAGGCAGTTCCTTCACACGTGTTAACACATGGTTGATGATCCTGGGACTAAGGTGATGGATCACCATTCTAAAAGTAGCTAAGTGAATGTAAGTAAACCTTGCTACTATCAATAATTTTGTATTAGTTCCATTTGTAGCTTAGTTATTTCTTTTTACTTGTGTCTTATCGCATTAATTGCTGAGGTTCATGTCTTCTATTGTAGTTCTAGTCCTGAGAGGTCTTTCTTTTGAGCATCTTCTGTTGACTTTTTCATTACATGTCTATAGGCACATCAAGTCAGAGTCATGCTCACAAGCAGGTGTAAGGCAATTAAGAACTGGTGCGTGAAAAGGTAGAAAAACAGTTCTAGCCCTAGCCGTGTTATTCCTGCATTCTGTGTCCTCGTAGGGAATAACAGTTAAAAGGGAATAAGAATATCTTTTTCTACACTGAATCCAAGTAACTCTTTTAATGTTCATTTATTTTTCTGTAGCTTGCCGATGACCGTATGGCACTGGTGTCAGGCATTAGCTTAGATCCAGAAGCAGCCATTGGCGTAACAAAACGATCACCTCCGAAATGGGTGGAGGGAGTAGATGAAGTAAGTTGAATGTTAGTTTCACAGTTTTATTTTTTTTGTGTAATAATACCAACATGTTTTAATGCATCTGCAAAATAAACTAATTTGTCTAGCAGATACATAGCTAGAAATACCTAACCTTTGCGTTTATTCATTTCACATAACATAAGAATAGGTTTTATATATGTTAACGATTTTGGTGTTAGTTTTAACTTTGGTAGTAACTACCTGAAGTATAGAAATTAAGCTGTACAATAAAGAAGAGTAGATTTTTAAAAATTTTTCTGGTAATTTAAATTAAAATTTGCTCACATATCAGTAAACCAGCAGGTTCCCTGCAGACCGAGCTCTGTATTCTGAGTGTAGCTAATTGTCTCTGAGGCGGACAGATACCTGCCAGGCATCAGTGGAGTTCTGGTGACTTCATTTGTTTAGATACAATATGATGTTGGCCGAATTAAACAGAAGATGAAAGAATTAGCCATCCTTCATGACAAGCATTTAAACAGACCCACCCTGGACGACAGCAGCGAGGAGGAGCATGCCATTGAAATAACCACCCAGGAGACCACACAGGTGAGGCCGCAGGCGGTCCTGGGACCCCAGATGCCACCAAGTGTCGCCGTTCCAAAGCGGCTGGAGCAGCTTTCTAGAGTTTCCCTTCCCAGCCGGAAGTTCTCAGAGGGACTTCTGGGGGCTGTGCAGTCCACCGAGTGTGCCAGCATGTGCACACGACGTGTTGGAGGGGGGACTGGTTTTCAGTAGTTGGTTTGTTGGTAGATGCTACTATGGTTGATTAAATAAAAATTAAACTCAGAATACTTCTGAATTCAGTCACTGGATTTAAAAACATAACTTCTAGTGCTTAAAAAATTTATACTGAAATATAGTTCTCATAATTAAAAAGAAAGTTAGTGTCCCTTCGGCTGGTGATGTGACTAGTGTTCAAGCTTCAGTGTTTATGTTTTTCTTTGTTTAGATCTCCAAGGGGCCCATTGTCAGAGGATGAGCACATGAGTGCGTGAACATCATTCTTAGCATAGCAGGGGCACATTTCTCTTTTCACCTGTCTGATTCCAGCAGTCTCATCTGTAAAATGGGGATAAAAACAGTGCTAGGCCCTGCCTCGTAGTGTGCTTGAAGGGAGTGGGTAGGGAATGAAATGGCAGGATGTGGCGGAGCACACAGCAGGCTCTGCACAAATAGCTGAAATTCAGTGAATCTCCCTGTGTGTGTACTTGAGACCTCCGATTACTTTTATTTGCTAACTTTTCTCTATGGGAGCTGGACAAACTGGTCATTACCCTCCTCCTGCTTGTGAGTGAGTAGAGAGGCCCTGTTAGCGTCCCTCTGTCCACAGCTGGCCCTGAGCCCTCCTGTCCTCTCAGCTCTTCCACAGGTGTCAGCGTGCAGTGCAGGCCCTGCCCAGCAGAGCCCGAAGGGCCTGCTCAGATCAGGAGGAGCGATTGCTGCGGAATGTCGTGGCCTCCCTGGCACAGACCCTGCAGGAGCTGTCCACCAGCTTCCGGCATGCACAGTCCGGCTACCTCAAACGTGAGTGCTGCCCAGCCTTTTTTAAGAGATCTTTGAGTGGAGAAGAGCTACTTTTGGGGTTTTTTGGTGTGTTCTTTTGCTGTTATGGAAATGTTTCACTGTGTAGTCCTGTACCTTTCCTGCTTACCCTTTGAGCACACTCATACCTTTTATAATGAGAGGAGGCTCCCCCGGCCCCCAGGACCCTTCCAGGGAGTGAAAGGGCAGCTCTGGCTACACAGAATACTTCATATCTAAGCAAGAATTGGAAGAACAACTGAGCACATTTTAAGAACTGTTGTTTTCCAGATGTAGAGGTTAGGGAGCTGCTCCTAAGTGGGTAAAACACAGCCCTCACAGCTTAAAGCCACATACTTGCATAGCAATGAAAGCATCTAAGAGTGCCTGAGAGAACTTCCTGAGACACCGGCTCAGCCAGCACATCTTTCCAAGTGGTTCAAGCCGGGCGGGTACATGCTCATCTTACTTGCCCCGTAATCATGGGTTTGCTTTGCTGCCATTGTAGTCCATGAAGTCACCTAATCTACACCCCCATCTTCCTGGTTCTGACAGGGGCCTATTTATGTTTTAATTTTATTTCATCTGAAATTTGATTGGGCTCACTTGGAGTTTTTACTAGAGATGCTCCCAGAGAGAAATACCGATTTTGTTGTTGTTATTGTTCGTGTTTTGTGACAGCAGTTAGAATAAATATTTCTGTCTTTGCTTAGAGATTCTCAAATGCTCACATCTCTGTTGCGTTGGCATCAGGTGACTTGTACACACTTGGAGTGTGGCTTTGTCTTAAATAACCCCGACATTTGCATGTTGTTGTGTGTTTTAATGCTTAATTCTCCCTTCACCCCCTGGAGATGGGCTTCCTTAAAGTTATAAGGAGATCTCGACTTTGACTGTTGAGCTTTACTCTAGATTTCCCCTTTTCCTTGGTGGAACGGTAACCAGGATGGTTTACATAGTCAAGTAAAGTGGATTCCTATCTGTGATAGGCATGAAGAATCGAGAGGAAAGATCCCAGCATTTTTTTGACACATCAGTACCACTAATGGATGATGGAGACGGTAATGCTCTGTATGATCGGGTACGTGAAGGGGCTAAGAAATGGCTGCTGTACATTTGCACCCCGTTCTGTGTCTCTAACCCCTGTGCAGTGCAAATGGAGCAGCACTGTCGGACTTGAGTGCCCATCAAGTGATCTTTGCAGTAGGCAGAACAGCCATACTGTTTCTTCCTTCCCAAAAGCCACAGGAGACCTTGAGACCTGCTTTCCAGAGCCTTCGGGAAAGCGGCGCTGAACGCTTTCTCAGGACGAATGCGGAGGAGCACGGGGCCATCCCAGAGTCCTTGCATGGCTGCTCGTTGAGCTTCTCTTGTGTCCCTTGCTGTGGCCATAGTGCCAGAGAAGCCAGTGCTTTGGGGAATTTGCATCTTTCCCATTAGGGAAAAATAAATGCCTATTTATTGTCATGTGTCTTATATTTTTCATAAGTTCATTTTCTTTGGATCATATCTGAAGTGGTGCAGCATAGGTTTCCTAAAGGGGAAATTCTGCACTGTTGTTTTGCTAGGGTTTCACGGAGGACCAGCTCGTGTTGGTGGAGCAGAATACACTGATGGTGGAGGAGCGGGAGCGGGAGATCCGCCAGATTGTGCAGTCTATTTCTGACCTGAATGAAATCTTTAGGGACTTAGGAGCCATGATTGTAGAGCAGGTATGTGGGTTACCCATCCTATCCTACTGTAAGGATAGGATGCTTTTCTACTGTTGAACCCGTTCCTTCTCAAAATCCTTTGATTCTGTACTTGTCAGGAAAAAATTTGAACCTGTGTGTATGTGTGTTCATGTGTGCACATATATATATGTGATATATATGTGTATATATTACAACTGATGTAAACTACTGTCATTCCCTATACAAATATTAGTAAACTCAAAAAGAAATAGAAGTTCTGATACCCTGCCTGCCCCAAGGTACTCCCGAGCACATAGTGTGGAACCCGGCCTGGTTCTGACCAAGCCCAGCACTGATTCTGGCAGTAGATAAGATTTCCTTTCTAATTTTGGCAGGTTATTGTGTAATGGCCATTGGAACCACTAGCTCTCAAGTAGAATTAAATTGTTGTTCACTGTTAGAATCTGATTAGGGCATTTTATTATCTTGCCAGCAGGGATTTGGGTTCTGATCCCCCAGAAACCAACTGCAGAATGGAGTGTTCAGGCCATGCAAGATCCAGTTACCCTAATTACTGCCATGTCGCCCTATGAACTGCTGTCTCTCCCGATCCAGCATGTTTCCAATAAGAGTCCTATCACATGCAGCTCGGTGGCCCCTTCTTCCTGGAAGAGCCAAGAGTTTTTTAAGCAGTTTTTTAAAAATTCTCCTTCAGGCACAGTTTTTAATTTTGGATGGTGAATTGGCACTTTCCACGCTCTGCTGTGACCCATGGAGAACCACCTTCAGGTTTATAGATGTGACAGTCAGTTTGCAGGCCTAATTACCTCCAGGTTGAGCTCTGCTTACTTGACTCCAATATTTAAGCAGCAAGTGGACATCAAAGTTGGCCTTTTGCTGGCAGAGCCTGTGTCCGCTGAACCACATACTCTTTCACGCCCCAGTAAGTCTGAATACAGCATAGCCTACAGTGCCTAAACCGAGAAAGGGACCCCAGTTCGCTGGTATTTCTCATGAGCTAGATATTATTGCAGCTAACATAGCACACCGCTGCCAAGTACCTCTCACTGCTCGAAGGCCGATCCCAGGGTTTTCAATACGCAGCTTTATGACACACTAGATAAAACACCATCTCGCGGCAGATGATGTCTATAATTTGCATGTCTGGTATTTGAAGTTCAATTTCCTTCGTTGCAGTTGTTGATCACCTGTAACTGTCATTTATTACTCAGGGTACGGTCCTTGATAGGATTGACTATAACGTTGAACAGTCCTGTATCAAAACCGAAGATGGCTTGAAACAGCTTCACAAGGTAATAACATTTTTCACTGGCTGAGAATTTTAGGAACTATTATCAAATCTCAAGCATTCATAAGAGGAGTCCCTTCTGGCATAACTCTTAAGTGTTCATGTTTATGGTTGGCTATCAATGCAGTCATGTAAAATGTACCCCATCATTTTGTTTGAAGCTGACTATGTGGGCTGTTGCCATTTTACTGCAGTTTACCTTTCCATGTGTGCCTTGCCCTGAGATCAGACATTGCTGAGAGCTCCATTCTGTGACAGTATATTCTAAAAGGACTGGGGGTTTCCTTCTTTCATCCTTGCTGAGACCTCTCATTTGGGGGAATCAGTTGAATGGGTATTTGCTAAAATACTTGTTGAGAAATGTGTCTGCTTGTTACTGCTGACTCAGACTTTGCTTCTTGTGATACACTTCTGATGCATTGCTGGTTGAGAGTCATTCTGGAGATGATGCAAATCTAATGTTCCCTTTAACTGCCACAGCACATTCGTGTGTCACCTGAGGAAGGAGAAGTTTGTGGGAATGAGTGCTAGGGCTCTCATTCTTTGCTAATGAGGTGCCTATTTCGGGATGTTTTCATATTACTTGTTAATTTCTTTCTCTTTAAAGAAAGCAATGGAAAGCATCTTAGAAATCTCGTCATCAGTTATGAGAAACATGCACGAACTGCTGCGTGCTGGTGTATAATTGGACACATATTTTCTTTTTTTTTTTTTCTTTTTTTTCGGTACCGGGAATCGAACTCACGACCTCGTGCTTGCCAGGCAGGCGCTGTGCCGCTGAGCTAAATTCCCAGCCCCGGGCACATATTTTCTTTAAAAGGAATATAATATTTCACAGATAAAATAAATTCTATTTACTTCCTTGTGTCATTGAGACTCAGTGGTATTTCTAGCAAATAATGAACACCTTTCCAGTTCACTAACATTACGCTATTATTTGTCTGAAACCAGTCACTTCTTAGAGCAGAGGCTGCCCCCACTGTGGTATCAGGCTTTCAGAGTCTAGCCTTGCAGTCCGTCCAGAAGTCTGGCCTGTCTTCAGGATGCTGCTGCCTGGCGGGAGCAGGAGCGAGAGCCGCATATAGTGGGGAGAAGTCCTGCCTTAGGTAGGCAGAGGCTTTTTACGCATTTAGATGAACTTGGTTACCAAGCTCTGTATATTAAAAGTGGAAACCAGCTTTAGTTTTTCATTTTGTAATACCCAGGTTTTGATACACTGCTGAATTATGCATGGGTTTTGAAGTTTCTTAAATAAAAACTAGTGAAACATGTTTTCTATTATAACACAGACAAAGGGGAAAGCCTTCTCTGCAGAAGTGAACAAATCTAGTGGGAAGGAGAAATTTTGTTTTAAGTTGTACTTTATAAATCATTGTGAGAGGTTTCCGAGCATATTATTTGGCGTGGCTTCCCTGGTGCCTGGGCTGTTTATTAGGGAGGAAGGTGTGCTCCATCTTCTCTCAGACCCACGCTGACATCGCTGTCCTTGGTGATCAGCTCCTCTGAGAATGCTTGAGCCTTGGGAGTCGCTTCCCCGGCTACATTCTTGAGAAGGTCTTCTCCTGCTGTTTCTTCCCAGTTGAGGTGGGCTCACTGAGAAAGCTCAGCCTCCGGTAGGTTGGGCACCCAGGGAGGCGAGGTGGAAGGGCTAATGCCTCACTTGGTGTCCGTCTCCTCAGTGTGCCTTGCTGTTGTCTGAAAGGGTGGGGCACGCTCTGCCTCTGGGCCTTCAGCACCCATCGCAGCTCTCCTACCCTCCATCTCCCTGCTCGGGTGTGTGTCTGTGGCCAGCAACCCTGGGCGTATTGGGACTTCAGCCTCTCAGGCTGGGTGGAGTAGACAGCACTTCCAGTGTGCGGTGTTTAGGGAAGAGGTGTGGCAGGTAGGCCTCGCCCCAGGTTGAGCTTCCGGGAATGCCACTGCTGTGTCTTGGTTAGCTCTAGGAAGATGTACCTCGGCTGAGCGCTCTGTCCGCAGCAGATCCATGGGCCACACTCATTTCCACTGCAAAATATGGGCTTTTTGTTTCTGATCAAGGTCAGAGAGGTAGCACGTGGGCTTTGGGCTGTTGGCTCCGTATTCCCAGTTGTGATACCTGCAGCCAGCTGTCCGTTGCGGGGCAGGAAGCTGTGTGTTTCCATATACGGGGAGTCTGCCTGACAGCCGGGGAGGCGGGGTGGGGAGAAGCAGGTCCACGTAGACTGAGGGCACTGTCCATAGTGTCTCTGCCAGCCTGCGTCCCAACAGTCGATTCTGAACTGATGTTTTCCCAAGTCCCGGGAAGTAAGTAGCGTCAGGGTCCCAGAGTTCTTCCAGCTGAGTCCACACCGAGGGAAGGTTCCTAACATGGCCTGGCCTGCACAGAGACACCATTCACTGTGCAGAAGAACCAGAGCCTTGTGCAGGAAGACAGGGCGTCTGGGTTGGGATTCTTGGGAAAATGACTGCCTTTTTTCCTCCTCTTTCTGTAGGCAGAACAGTACCAAAAGAAGAATCGGAAGATGCTTGTGATTTTAATATTGTTTGTCATCGTCGTTGTCCTCATTGTTGTCCTCGTTGGTGTGAAGGCTCGCTAGTGGCCTTGGGCTCGCTGTGCGCCACCTCATGGATTCCCCGTGTGGGGCTCAGCCTGCACCCCCAGCCGCGCGCCGAGGTGCGGCCAGCGGGCAGCGAGGCTTTCGGTAGATTCTTCCTCGCTGTCGTGCTCAAGTGAGGGGAAGGGGGCCTTTGTTTTTGTTTTCCATCATTGTCGAGTCTTTAAGGACCTTTGATACTGTTGCAGAATAGAGATTGGTTCTGTGATCAACTGTAATATATATATTTTTTAGAAAGTGAAGATGAGTTGAAAGTTTACAGGCACTGCGAAGCTGTTCGGTGTTAAATGTGTGTATGCTATTTTTTTAGCATTTATGTCTGAGCAGCATGTTAAAATAATTTTTGGAAAAAATTTTAAACCATTTGGTTTTTAAGAAATTTGGTACCAAAAATTTATGAGTAGAGGCAAAAATGCCTCTTCATTTTTCTCTATATATTTTCCAGTTGAAAACAAACTAAGAAGTCCTTTCAGAATTTATAATCCGTTCCCCATTAACTTAATTTAGCTTTTCCATCACTGTTAATGATCAGAGTAACAAAGTGTGAAAAATAAGAAACCATCATTGATGTTAATTAACACATATAGATGGGCCAGTTAAAACAGCTTCATGAGTTTAAATTAATTGTAAATAGAGTATTCCTCATTTAAAATTTTTGCACTGCATTTCTACTGTATACCAAAAGGGGTTACCAAGAAAAACCATCTAAATTTAAAAGTTGGTGATTTGCACCAACCTCACATTAAAGGGAAGCTTGACGGTGTCACAAAAGTCACCAGATTGAGCAAGTGTGTCTCTGGGTGTCCCCAGCCACCCCTACTCAATCCACTGCTTATATACTAACTACATAATGACCTGTTCAAACCAGACTCCATTTAATGAACTGTGAATTTACACAGAGGCCATTTTAAATGGGTCACCCCATTTAGGATTAGTGGATCTCAAATTATTAACCAAACATCACTCCATTTCAGAGTAAAATATTCCACCAGTGACTTGATTTATTGGCTCTCCCATTGCCCTTAACAGTGCCCAGAAAGTAGGCACACTCCTGAGGGTGGTGACAGTCCCGGCTAGAAAATCCTGCACTTACGTGAGCGTGGATCAGATTGCCAAAGCCGGACTTTGTCGTTTACCTATCTATTATCACTATTATGGTGCTTGAGTTTATTCTTGGAACTGTAATGTGGGAAGTGATGATAGCTTTGAAAACTGAAGTTGTTCATGTTTCATTTGCCCTGTTTGAATTGATACCAGTACAATTTTGGTGGCTTTTGTGTAATTTTTGATGGCTTTTTCATTGTTTCTCCTTCTCTTAAAAAATTTAAGAAGAGCATGACCCCATTAAGTGTGTAACATTTTATTTAGGCCAGTCATATATAAACGGCCTCTTCAAGAATTGCTTTTGAAGTGGCTTCCAGAAACTTCCACTCAAGTCACCTAAACAGACTATGTCTTACCCCCAACCCCTGCCCAGGCTTCCCACCTTGTGTCCACCTCCGGGCAGCCTCCTGTTTTCTCGCTGCTGCAGGCTGAGGAACACTGAGAATCCAGAGGTGTGCCCGGCATTCCTTGGTGGACACTGGTTAGGAAACCATAGCTGAGGAGTCATGTCCTCCCTCATCACCTCTGAAGGACGGGACCCACAGAGTCCCAGCTGGTTTTAACCCTGTGGTGCAGTCATTTAGACCAGCCGCTCCTTGGAGTGGGACTGTTTTAGGGAACTTGCCTGAAAAACAATTCATGGAGATCATGCTGGATAATTGTTAAAAGCTTTTGAAAATGCTGAGTCTTACCAACCCTCGAAGGAAATTAACCCTTTAAGAAAGGACCACCATTTATTTATATTTATTTCCCCAAATAGGGTAATTTGGGTTGCTTCCCCCCACAACCCATTCAGGTAACAATGGATCTGATTAGAAATTGTTTGGGGACTCTTGTGTGCGGGTGGGGGTACTGTCCTCTTCAGTCTGAAGCTCATACAGTGCTGGCCAAGCCCCAGCTGTCTGCTACAGTGACCGGTGCCGCGGGATGGGAGATGGAAAGGCCAGCCTGGAGCTGGCCCCAGAGCCCATGCCTGACTTGTTGGGGTCCTTAAATCACTGTATTTTTCTCTTGAGCCTGTATTTCGGGGAAGATCAGTAGCATTTGAGAAAGTAAAGGAAAATTGATAATCATGTCCTGGTACCTCAGGGTAATTCTTTCCCTCTGAAAGAGATGGATTCCTTGGCCTGCCCATGGTCATGCCCTTTAGTCCCTGCTGGGCTGTGGAGGTGACAATCATCCAGGCCAGACTACCCACTGGCCTGGGAAGCACCCTCCAGAAGGAGGCCTTGCCCGGGAGGGCTTGCTCGGGGCACCTGGGCCTAGCCCCAGAGCCCCTGCCCCTTTCCCAGTGTCCTGGCTGGCTCCTGTGAGTGCAGCGGGGAAGAAAAGCAGAAATGTTAATGTCAGTTTTGCAAAGCTCCTGATCTTTCCCCAGATTGTAACTGAAAACTGCTGTCTGTCATTTTGTTCTGGGGTGGGGGGTTGCTGGCTAGGCCATGTTGTGTGAAGCCGTGTGTGTCTCTAATTTAACGGATTTACCGCTTTCTCTGCTAATTGAGAGAGCATTATTTATTTGTTTTGACACAAGTGCTTGCAGTGTTTTATCCCAGCTAATGGCTTCTTAAAGGTAATAAAACCCTTCAACCTAATTGGTCAGATAAGACTTTTTTTCTTGTATGCTTAAATAAAGCAATTAGTGAAGCGCTTCTACCCAAAATGACTTTTTTTTGTCCTTTTTAAAAAATTAATTTACTGTTACTGGAAACTTTTGTACAATAAAGCAATCAAGCAGATTAAAGAACATCCTGCGATCCTAGTATTAATTTTAACGATGGGTTCATGTTTTCTTCAAACGCGTTTGTGTTAGGGGAGGGCCTGACCACTTCTATGCTCTTTTTGGCTGAGGACTATGTATTGTGGGCCTGAGGCCTTTGCCTCAGTGTCTGCGAGTCCATTCGTCTGTCCAGTGCATGCTTTCAATGGGCCTGATCTGTGTACTATCCAAATACAAATAGGGAAACCACCTGAAAGGCACCTAATTTTTTTCTTATAAAAATACTTGCTTTCTATACGTACCAAGAACACATGGAAAGCTTGAAGTAAAACTGTAGTGTGCCTGGAGTACTTCTTGCACGCATGTTCCAGGTCGCTCAGCTTTCCACATGGCTTTGAGAATCCCCTATTCTGTCAAACCAAAAACTTCCGGGACAGTGTTTGTCCGTGGAGCCCAAAGCCAAGACTGTTTCTAGGATGCCCAAGGGCTTGGGATGCTCTTTGTCACAGAGTATTGACCTTCACACGTGTGCACTCCTGGAGGGAGAGGTGCGGCCGTCGGGTTGTGGTGGGTGTGTGTTTCTTCAGTTATAACACTGGCGTCTGTTTGGGAGTCATCCTTCCAGGGGGTGTCCTTGGCACGCTGGGCATTTAGTCCTGAGATGCTGCTGTTGCTCACGGCAGTTACCTTCACAGCCTGTTGACAAACCACGCAGAAGAAACAGGCTCTTCCTCTCGTGCCCTCACCTTGTTCTTTGGCTAGAAATGACATTTTCCCCCACCAACTTGCTCCTCAGCCATCTCAAGGGCTAGATAGATGTGTCGTAGGGCTCAGCAACATGCAGACTACTGGTAACAACAGTAAACAAGTCATCCATGCTGATGGACTGCGGGAAGGTGGAAACACACCCACGGACATACAGGTTCTTGAGTGGAAACTCCTTTGATTATGTTCCAGTGGGGACCTTGGTGGCCCAGTTTTTAAAGCTGGGTGCCACAAGAGTGTGCAGATAAAATCCAGAACATTGTTGAGCAGAGCACGCTTAAGACTTAGGCTCTGGTGCAGAGATGGTAGACCATTGTGTTCCCCCTTGAATGTTTAACCTTAACTGCTAGAAAACAGGCTAGAGGTAGATTTTCTCTGCTAAATGTAGCAGATTCTCTAAGGAGTCAACTCATAACCCAGAAAGCAGTCTTCCCTGTCGGTCACTGTGTAGTCACAACAGAACAGTGTGTCTGGTCTAGTCTTTGTTTGTTTTTGTTTTTCTCCCGGTACCGGGAATCAAACTCACGACCTTGTGCTTGCCAGTCAGGTGCCGTGCCGCTGAGCTAAATCCCCAGCCCTGGTCTAGCATATTGTGCATCTAAACATGACTGGGTCAAATGTCACTCCATATACTGCCATAGTCAATCATAAGAACCATAAGGAGAGAACTTCTCATAGAAGTGGATGATAATTAGTTGGGTAGAGGGAAGACAGTATAGCAAGCACTAAGAATCCCTGCTTCTCAGTGTTGTTAACTGATTAGAAATGGTAAGTTTCCATTTCTTCTAGGATTGAGGGAGCCATACCTGATGCTTCTGATGTTAGTTACATAGTAGAGGTTAGCATTTATGTGTGTGCCTTCAATTGCATATCTGTGTGTACTGACCCTTGAAATCTGGCTTTCTCTGCAAATTCTCTTGACTATCCAGGTGCCACCTTTACCTCTGTGTCTGATGTTTGTGTCCAGCTGTGTTTTGAAACTGAGGGAGAGCAGCCCCCTTCAAATTGATGGGTGTCAGAACAAGCTAATGTGGGCCCTGGGTGGCAGGCGGAGACTCCAAGTTCACGTGAAAGTGTTCCCGATGTAGGACTCGAGAGTTAGACAGTGGACACGGCTGCATGCCACCCTCGGACAGATGTCGTGCTGCCCCACGGCTGGGTTTTCTCTCTACAAAGAGGCATTCCACAGAACCAGTGGCAGACTTGTCCACAATTATCTGGTCAGTTGAGGCAAAGGAAAATAATCATTGGTCCAATTGTCCAAATTAGCTCCCTGGACTGTCCTGAATGCTTGGGATAATTGTATGGTTCTCCATTTTAGCTCCATAGTCTGGCTAAAACGGACCATTTAGATGAAGTTCTGTTCAACACAATACACATTTAAATTGGGCTCAGCTAAATCAGACGACTGGATTTAGCATTTTCTGTTTGTCAACTGTAATTCTGTAATTGCTTTTAGCTAATCATCCAAATTCCACCATTTTCCACTGGTTTTTGTTTTTTGTTTTTTTTCATTTTATAGATGTTGTAATGGAGGCAAAGGGCTCTGGTTTGCATCATTGGTCTCTTTCTCAGACTAAGTGCTGAGGGAATCAAATGTCGTTTTTAACTTATTCTGACCCAGAGCACCGTAATAGATCTCTGTCTTCATCAACTGTGGGGAGACAGAGAACCTCACTCCCCTCCCAAACCTCCCCCTTTTCCAGATGGTGAAACTGAGACCTGCCTGCGTCAGGGCTTGCCAAGGTCATGCATTGAGTGCAACTCAGGGCTAGAACTAGAATCATCAGCCTTCTAATTTCCAGACCAGCACTATTTCTGCTTATGCCATTTTAATTGTTCATTTCTTTCCATAAAATTAAATGACCTTCCTCAAGAAAGATTTAATGGTCAAGATGTGATTTGGTAAAAAGCTTCCTCAAGGATTTTTTTTCTTATTACAAAGATGAGACTAGGCTACAGCTAGGAGAGATTTGCAAACAGTGGTGTGTCATTATCCCCAGTTCAGTTTTTTGTGTAATTGGTGTGAAGAGATTGCTGCTGATGAATCAGCCTGCTGCTGAACAGAAAATAATGATTCTTTTGTGACGTGACTTGATGTACGTACATGTGGGTTTGTGGTTGTTTATAAAAGGTATATATGTACATAAAACACTTACTGAGATGGATAATGTCATTTTAAAGTTGTAAATAATAAAAAATACTCCTGAGCAAAACTGATTTTACAATTGCCTGAGAAATGCGGTACTTCATTTTAACACTATGCAATGGCTAGAAATTGATTTTTTTAAATCCAATTAAGCCTCAAGGTTGGTTATCCATTTAAAAGGTCGGATGAGTTAAACAATGACAGTACCTTCGGTTCACGCTAATAATTAGATTTACACGGAACTTCAGCACTTACATTGTGCTTTGCGGATGCATACATTTTGTGTCTGCCAACCATGCCCTACCCAAGTGCCCAGCTATGGTGAGGGTACACCAGCAAAGCAGGTCTCTGACTCGGTGAATCCCCAGTGGCCTTCTGGCACTTGCACTCCTTCCCCTCAGATTTCCAGCATCTACTCTGGAGAGGCTGGGTCTCAGCAGACAGCTACTTCCTCCCCTTTCTGAAGCCCCAAAAATAATGGGACATGGGAAGCAGCTTCTCATTTAAAAGAAAGGTTCAGGCACTACCTGCTTGCTTGTACTGCCAAGTTTATAATGCAACAAAGAAATCCTGTTTTAAAAATAGTACTATAGTGCATATTTACTACATATTCCTAATGTGTTAAGAAAAAGACTTGAAAATACCTTTTTATGGTTCTCAGAGGTAATATTTAAGTATTACTGAATTCATGAAGATGTTGAGAAAACAGCAACCTGATTGAAAGTCTTGTTACTCGGCTTGAGCTGTAATGTCACTCAAATTTTATAAATCACTGAGAACAGATAAGTGATCTTATTTCAAATCCAGCATTTTAACCTGCATTGTAATTCATAATAAGTAAGGCTGATGCATTTCAGTACTTTCTGTCCATAACTGAACCAGCTTGAAATATGGAATCTTCCAGATCCAGTGAGGAAAAAAAAAAATATATTGAATTTCCTTCTCATTGCCCTGGGGGGAGGGGTTAACAGTTTTTGGTTAGTTTTTGCCGCCCCCACCCTTTCCTCACACTGCCCAGCTGCCAAAATCCTCAGCAACAGATTTATGATCTTTTTAAAAAGATCTATATTCAGATACCACAGATAGATGTGTAATAAGCACAAAGATGTTTCTGAGGAAAATGTGACGCAGGTTGGAGAGTGAATCATTTTCAATACACTGGAGAAACGTACTGTTGAACATGATCCTATAAGTGAATGTTTTCCACAGAAGAGATTTTCTGATCAAAATAAACATCTGCTCCCTCGTTTTGCCTCTCCGTCGGTCTCCACTTGCACAGGTTGGATTTGCATAAAGGAATGTGGGACCATGTTTGATCAGTTAATTATTTCTCTTTTCCTTCCTGCAGCTTTCCCCTCCCAAGGCTCCAGGTCTTCAATATACCCCTGAAAACTTTGGCAACTAGAAAAATAATTCTGCTGGTGTTCAGAAGTAAATAGGAATTTAGTTCCTGAGACATGAGGTTATTGCTGTCTCACACTGTGCCCTTCCTGAGAGAATAATTTAGGCTGCTAGGACAGCAGGGGACTCCAGGAGCAACTAGTTCAGCCCCTCATTTTATCGAAAAGCCCTAAAAACCAATGTCTGAAGGAGCACTTTCGGCTGTTAATAAATGGTTCTGCGAGTATGCTTTTATTAACACATTCCTCCCTCATCCCACGGATAGGAGAAAGCAAAGACACGGTGCTCGCAGATCAGTTTACAGAATGTGCTTTTCAACTAAAGCGCTACCTTTTGTGGAAAATACACGAAAATATGTAATCTTTCTTTTCTCACAAAGAGATAAGAAAGATGAACCAAAAGCTAATAAAGATGGCTACCTGAGGGGGTAGAAAGGTTACCTGTGAGGGTCGAGTAGAAAAAAGGATTTAGGGACTGGACTGAGAGGAGACTCCTTTGAACACGTAGGGTTTTGACTTTTAAACCATGCGATTATGTATTCAGAAGAGAAAAAACAACTCATTACACCGAAGAGAAACAAACGTAAAACTCAATGTACATCACATTGTGGAACCACACAAATAATGCAATAAATTTTTAACGTATCATGAAAAACATTCCCAGAACAAACGGAATCAAGAAAAGCAGGTTTGTGGACGGGAGTAGAGGCTGGTA